GTAGGGAAATAAAACACTGTTGCTGCTACAGCAATGACAATTTCAAGAACGTGCCTGGAGATTCTAGCCAAAAAGGAATTTTCAACAAGGAATACACATGAAAACAAACATGGATGCACAAGTAAGATGCAGAGAAGGATAGGGATACACAATCTGTATTAGGACTGCTGTAAACCACTGACATCTAGAGATAGGCAAGAAAAATGCAGAATAAACTGTAGCACAAAACTTTCATATGCAATAATTCCTAATTTATACTTCACAATTCATATTTAATTCACTTCAATTTTTTCCTTTAGATTTTCCCTTTCGTGCTGCTTGTGATGCACAAGGACCATAAACCGTTTCTATAGACTAACACAGCAATGGCAGACATCCATGTCATGTGCTCAGATCATGTTTGACTGAAGCATTTACACCCTAGATTATACTGCAGATTTCCGTTCTCTAATCTTTGATTCTATATTACATATTCATGTTTAGCTATGCCCTCTACATGGTTCAGATGTCTAAGGCTAATCAGTGCCATACAGTTGGATCTAGTAGTTGGTATTCTGTCTGACAGCCAGTTAGCGAATGAAGTCGTCCACAATTTAGTAAGCTAGTGTAAATCAGTCTTAATGGCAATCCCCTCCATGGGCCATCTACATGCTGCTCCGATATAATCACAGATCCCAGGAAAGACAGAATTAGATTGTGCAGCTTCTTACCTGCAGCTCCTTTGAGACTCTCTCTAAGTGGTTAGTTATCTTTTTTATTAGGTCACTATACATCTGTTCCGAATGCTGCTGGCATACACACTTATACACACAACTGCAGAAACAAATATAGGAACAAACAATGAACTTACAACAGTTTGCAATGAAGGGTTACAGACTTCAAAATATTTTGTTCAAGTCTCAATTTACAGGATAATAGAGTTAACTGAATGATCGCTGAACTTTTAAATACAGCCCTAAGATTCGAGTGAGCTCCAGCAGACTCTTGAGTCTCCTCTGGAGGCCCCAGTGTGTCCATCCCATTCCCCCTCCCCAAACTCACTTTAACTTATGAGTTCTCTTAAGAGTGCACTCCAGAACAGCCAGGATAATTCTGTCAATAGCATACTCCTAATTCTGGCTTTTGTCTCTCCTACATGAATGAAGTCTCCATTAAAATAAGCAGGTTTAATGATTACATGCATATTCTAGGGCAAAAACTTTTTTAAAAGAAGGGCAACGCTGACAAGCAGTCATAGAAGTTGCACCAAAACTGTGCTGGCATTTTAAAAAGAAATGGCGAAAGTTCTACAATTACAGACCCAAGCATATTACTCCATCCTTTGTTACTTAATTTCTAAGAACCGTAATTCTAATTAATAATAAAAAAAGATGCAGAGAAAGAACAACAAAACTTTAATTCTATATTCTATGGCTTGGCTGTGTTAACTCTGGTCTTCAGTGTTACCTTTGTTTTTTAAGAACATTTTATTGCTCTCCATAACTAACCAGTAGCATATACATATCCACATATATAACATAACATATCCGCAAAATAAGGCTATGTATGAAAACATATTTACCACAGACGTAAAACAAATACATATACTACTTTCAGCAAGTAGCTACATTAAGGTAGTCATCATCATCAGGACTAACATCAACATTATCTGTACCAAGCAGCTTTTCCTTTTCTTGAATCTTTCATTCTTCGAAGTCAGCATTTTGAAAGCTAGCTGCCAAAACCCAAGAGGCACAAGGAAGACTTCACCTGGTATCTTGGGCAAGTCAAATCACCTCCCCACGCCTCTGTTTTGCTCCCCTCTCCCTCCAACCCTCTGCATGGCGTACTGTGACAGCGAGCAATTTAGGCCAGAAACTGTTCCTTACAACACGCTCAAACAAACTAGCAAGGTCCAGATCCCAGACTTGAATTCCGCAGGTTTTTAATAGCACCAAAAGCCTAAAGCTATGGTACAGCAACACTGTGTCATAATTCCCCTACAGAAACATTTCAATTCTTTACTGAGAAGGTGGTACAGTGACAAACAAACTGCAAAGATGGGATTAAAATAACTGTAGACTATGGGTTATTGGAATTTTCTAATGCAAGTGAGAGGTTAAGCATCAACTCCAAGCCTTCAGGGGCCAAGACAGCACTCTCATTCAGTAACTGCCACCCTCAAAGTCTCCTGGAGGAAGGTTTTACAAGTGAATTATCAGTAACTTTTAGAACTTTGTATTTATTCCCTTTGACAACTCCAAAAGCCCCAAAGACACAGCATTCACCTCTATGCAAAGTCTGTTCATTTGGCAAACCATGCTATTTCTTAAAAACCAAAAGACACCCCACACCTCTCCTACTATTATATTTTAAAAATAATTGAGTTTCTGTAGTTTGATATTATTTAAATAACAAAGTCATAGTGTTTCTTTTACATTGAAGTTTACAAATAGCAGATCCTATTTTGGAACAAGCAAGTGCAAAAGACATTTTGGTATGATGCAGTAACAGCAAAAATATCAATTTAATTTGAATCAAAGAGAGAAACACTGATAAGAAAAGCCCGACTGATTTTTGTGATCCCTTACAAACAAGCCAGCTAGGTAACAACAGCAAATGGCCATACCTTTGTTTGCTCCATAACTAACCAGTATGTAGCCACTTCCAAGAGCTGACCACTTCATTCGCAATGATGTAACTAAACTGAATTTTAAAGTACAAGTCTGCTTAGTGTTACATACAATACTGCTGTACCTACTTTTGCAACACACTCTGTAGTCTAACACCTATCTTAGTAGGTACGTGCAGAGTGTGTTTACATTTTCTTTGAACACTTCTATTTAGAGGTTCCTTCCCCATTTTCAGATCCTGTTTTCAGTTCCTGATTGTGGGCTGATTCTGTGAATCATCCTTGCCCTGCTATTACCCAAAAGAAGTCACCGGCTTGTTAGGCCTTTAGCGTAACCAAACACCTTAAGAAAAGGAAAACCCAAGCAGGACATTAGAAGGTAAGCGTTTATTGAGAGGTATGAAGATCTGAGATCTGTAAGATGTCTTGAAGAACAACGATCTAATTGCACTGTACCTGGGAGGCAAATGATGCCAGAAGTACAACTTAGCTGTTCACATTTTCCTCATCTCAAAGTGTCCTTCACATCTCTCTGTCAATGTATTTAACCCTTTCAATAGGAAGTGACTATGCACAGGTAGGCTTTGGGCTCAAAGATGAAAACAGACACTAATCATACTTTGGTACCTTATGGGTAAGCTGATCTGTAGTAAATATCTGCATACACACCTTTGAAGTTATCTCCTAGCTTTCACAACTCTGGAGTAGACGCCTACAGTTACCACTGATCATGTCAAATAGAGTAGTTTGGGTATCTAATAATGTATTTTGAGTTTGCATTATGGAAACCTTGATTCCTTTAGTCAGCACAAAGACGATGAAAAAGACCACTGTATTTTCAGCTCAATTTCACTGTAAAAAAATATAAAAGACAGGTAGCTGTTTGAACCACTTCAAAAAACCTCTTTTTCAGACTAAAGAACTAGCCTAGGGAAGTAGAGAGGATCTAAACCTCAAGTCTGCTACAGACTTTCTGTAATACTCCAAGCAAGCATCATTGTTAAATTCAACAAAAAAGCAGCTTTTCTTCCATTCTCAATCTATGTTGTCTAGATTTTAGGTCAAGCAAAGTGACACCCTCTAAAATAAAATAAATAAAAAAACCAAAACTCCTGGTTGGACAAGGCTGTGTCAGAGTAATGACATCCACAGGTATCATTTTTAAAAGAAAACTTAAAGACGGACACGCTAGCTCTATCAGTTAACACTAAACTACAATCTTTCGTTTTGGTAAAATGCATGTTACAGACATCTGTGCATCGTTACAATACTGCATCAAGTGTCACCCTGATGCATAATGGTTACTTATGAGAAATTTAAAACCCATTATTCCTTTAATAAATAAAACTTTTGAGCAGTAAAAAGATGGTAAAGATGAACTGCAGTTATCTGAAAACCGTAACTAGGTACAGATCTACTCTAGGTATTAGAGCATGAATTTTGCACATCTACTCTTCATCAGAGATTACTATGGGGAGATGTTTGCTTAACTCTTACTGACGACTGTTTGTACATTGTGGACTTCAAGCTAGGAAAGGGATTTTGATTAGTTACACTAAAGCTGCAAAATGTCTCTCAATTCAAATTGACCATCTCAATTATTGACAGACATGCTGATGTCCGAGTCCCGATAGCAGCAGTTCCAAAATTTTGGAGAGGAAATTTAATAATGCTTTTAACTGGAGTTAAGAGGGAAGACTAAACACCTGCCATTCTTGGATCTGGTTCCCTAATCCAAAGTTTCAAACTGGAGAGACAAAGTGGCTAAGAGAAGTGGGCAGGAGACAATAGAGCTGAAAGCCTCTAAAAAGAGACAGCAGTGACTGAGCTGCCAGTGTTATTCCATGGAGTGCAACACTGTGGTAAAGAAAACCAAGACAGCGGTGCTACTAGTTGCGTTGCTGGCAAGGTCCAGTAGTTTTAACGGCATCTTGGCCAGTAAATGCAGCAGCAGCTACTCAGTTTCCACGCTATTAACCAGTATCCTGGAGACCTCTCACCTACAGAACAAAAATCTCCATTTTAGTCAATCTCTTAAGAAACTGCCAGGTCTCTAAAGCATTTAGCATTTTGGTTTGGAGCAGCAGTGTGGTTTTGAAGCAAATTCCCTACCATCTCCACTACTGTGCACTAGCTTAGAGCGCAGGGCAGTTCTGGTGTGTGACTAGATCCCCATTAAAGCAAAGTAAACTGCAGCTCCAGGCCAGGCAGAAATCAAACGTTCCCCGGACAAGAACGGAGATATAAAGGACTAAGCCTTGTGTCACTCCTTCAGACAGCCTCCAATTGCACATGCAGCGGCATGGCTGGGCAAGGGGGAAATCAGACCAAACCTACCTGATGCAAAAACACAAATGACAGTTTATATGGATGGACCTTGGCACCAGCCGCTTCTATTGACTTCTGCACCTCTACTGCACCAAACTGGTTCCTCTTAGACATGACAAAGAAGCCTTTTGAAATATTCAGTCAAATGTCTACCATGTCAGTCTCTTCTTCCCCCTTGAGGAAAGGGATGTTGAGACCTTAATACATTTCTTAATATATTACAGTAAGCAATTGTGGTGGAGCTTACTTTAATGTTTTCAGCACTTATGCATTTTAATTCTTTAGCATTTATTCCTGTTAACCTGGGATACCAAGATATGTATCTATTATTCACTCATTCCAACCTTTTAAACAATCTTGTACTCCACATAACCTTCTTACTTTCCTCCTCATAAACACAAAATATGACATATACATAGGCTGTGAGGTAAAAATAAATATTTAACTTAGAAAAAAAAAAGTAACGTAGCAGTTAAAAGACTTCCTTACCTGTATATTTGTTCATAGGAGATAGGGATGTAGTCACCAGGACTCTGAGTTAAAAGCTGATCTATGGCACTGTCCAACTTTGGCCAATATGTGCTCTTATAGTCTTCAATTGTTATAACATTCATTACTACAAGAAAAAGACAAAACTACATTCAGTAACTTTAGTTAAAAATTAGAAGCAAGTGAATGCTCTGCAATTTCAGATCACACCACTAAACTGGCCAAGAAAACTGGGAGCAGTTCACTTCCACTAAGATAACTTCATCTAAAACTAAAGACCAGACTTGAATTTGTACCTTCTTATTTACAGGAAATAAAATAAAATCAGAAAACCTGCCAAATCAGTGTTTGGATAGTTCTTAGGGGGCCAAGTAGCAGAGAAAAACAAACTCTTGGGAGTTCTAGCATGACAATATAATTAAATAAAAAGAGTAGTTCAGTAGTTAGTTCAGATTAATAAATCATGCAACTTTGTGAGAGTCTAGAAACACTAGCTCCTCACATGTAGGACAACAAGCTTTGGCCAAGATTGGTAGTTTTCAGAATACTCCTACGCAGTAGAGGTATTAATTTTACGAGTCTCAGGCGTGACCAGCAGCTTCCTTGGCCTAAAAGCTGATGCAATTCCCTCTGCCTCCGATTGCAGTCAGGCTCCCGGGCAACATTTTTGGATCTGTATTACAGTTCCTCCTCCAGCAGGCACAATAATACTCCTTTTCCAGATAAGAAACAACACAGGGAAGAATAGGAGGCATTTAAATTAGCTTTCCCCATCACTCCACGATTTTCCTCCCGATTTTCCTCCCAAGCTTCCCAACTGCACCCTCTTGCGCAAGCCACTCAGCGTGCCTTCACAGACACAGAAGAGTTTTAATCTCTCTCTTTTCAAGGAGGATTTCTGAACTACCCACCGGTGCCTCAGTTCCAACAGCAGCCAGGGTAGAAGGGTTAGCCCCTTCCCTTCGGAGGACCACTCACAGGACTACCTTGCTGGCTTGTCACACCACCATAGCTTCACAGCACCCACGCAAAACAAAGCCCTGAGTATCTAACAGCATGGGGTATACTTCATATGAAAACTCTCCAGCCCAGGAAATCTAAAGTCTTTTCTTCATCTGAACTCCACATGTGGGTCTAGGCTACATGGAACAGAGAAGAAAGATAGTTCCCACCCCAAATAATCCAGTTTAGACACTGCACTGAAAAGGAATATTTTTAATAAGGTTGCATTTTTAAATACAGTAGATTCACTGTTGGGTTTGAGGAGCAACATTTCTGAAATGTTATTTTCAAAAGGGGTTGAAAGGAGCTGGGTAAGTCACTTTTGGCAGCACTATGAAGAACAATTCTAGGGAAACACAAGCAAAACAGCTAACAGTTGTCATAAGAAAGAGTATAAAGAAAATGTGGAATAAAGAGAGGTGTGAGTCAAGAAAGTGACCACTATCTGTACGAGCAGGTATTACAGATTCCTGTTGTGTGTCTTTTTAGGCTATTTCAGTCAGAAACCTTGCTTAGTGAAGACTGTTAGTGCAGTGCTCTCAGTCCCCTTTTCACTCAACCAGTCATTGCTTCACTTCTGCTTCGTACCTGTCAGAGAAACGGATCTAGTTACCATAGTACATGTCTGGTTAGTGCACGGGTCATCACCCCCAAATGCTGCAGGATGCTGTCCCAACACTCCAGCCTGCAATCTAAAAGTACACCGTTTGCTAACAAGCTGATAAAGGTTACGGGTCTGGGTACACAACTACCAGGACATAAGTTAACATGTCCAGCAAGTCAGCTCCACGATGTGAAAGCAGCCACGCAGTGAGGAACAGGACACCACCTGCCTGACAGTAAATTCACCCCTTATTCATCTGCCTCGCAATGACTTGCTTGACTTCTCATCCCTCACAGAGCCCAGACTCTGGGCAGATGTTCTCAGCAGCAGCTTCCACGTAGCAGCTTTACCATTCACGCTCACCAGCAAAATTTGAGCATTTGTGTTTCACTTTGTCACCACAAAAAAGGTGGGTCTCCACAGAAGCACTCTGTTCCACAGAAAACATTAAACTGAAGTAAGCATAAATATCAGACCAAGTGTTGATTTAAGATTTCAATGTATAATCACACCCACATCTGGTTTAACATATTAAGTGAGCTCTATTTGCTTGAAAGAAAGTAGTCACATAAGACTTGAGAACTCTGCAAAATAATTTTTTAACAGGCTGTTGAGATGTCAATTTATATTTCTTTTTTCACAATATGGAAAAAGAAAGAAGTAGCAGAGAGGAGGGCCTGCCCATTAGAAGTACTGCACAGGTAAAGTACAAACCGCTTTTATGAACAGCCCTGGGACACTTGCATAGGAAATACTGATGAGTTCAAAGTAACATTCTAGAAAAGCTTTTTTATTCATTATTTATTCATCATTTATTTTATTTATTATTTTTATTCAAAGGACTCTTACAAGCATTATTTCATTTAATTTCCACACTTCAGTTCTGAAACTAAGACAACCATAATATTTACACAGTGTGCAGTTTTGGTCTCTTAACAATCACTATTTTTATTCTTCTAATCTAGAAAATAAATTACTTTAACATTTTAGTAACTGTCACAAGTTAGTAATGTTCTTTTTTTCTGGCAGTGCTTACATAGACACACAAAAAGCGGAGGATGACTTAAAGTAGCACCCTCCCATTACAAACTGCGAGAACAACCGCAAGACCAGGAAGGAAAGGCGTCACACAAATCCTTAGAAAGAAAAGACAGATTGCCCTTTTAGAAGCTTCTTTAATCTGTTACTTTTCCATCTTTTTAGGATGTCATTCTTAAATGTTTATCCCTACATTAGGCACTCAAGATTTAAAAGGATTTGTTCAACAGCCTCCATTTCCAATCGCAAGGAAAGGTTAATAATAAAAGATTACTTTCATTTTGCTGAGATTTATTAAGTTTCTGGGAAGCGACACGGGTATTTTGTAACAAAGCATGCTAGAATGCATGATTTTATCCACCCACAGAAAGTTTAGGGTGGGGCTGGGAGAGAAATCAATCTGATCAAATGGAAAGGAAGCCAGTATTTTCCAGCAAGTTATAAAAGACTTCATAAGTAAAGCTTGAGAAGCAACTGCTGCTTTTCCTTATACAGAAAAGTTCAAAAGAAAAACTGTTTAAGTCAAATGCAGCAGTGAAACAGAATATGCATGAGCTTCGTATGAGCTTCGTATCATAACCTAGATATTTCAGTATCATAGCCAAAACTGAAACACAACCTGCTCCAAGATACCAAATTCTTTGATATCAACTTCAATCAGAAGAATGGCAAAAACCACTCAGATCGTAAAAAAAAAAACAAACACCAAACCAAAAAGTCCAGGAGTAGGTATACATCCCCCATGAAATTGATAAGAAAAAACTTACAAACACACATAGCTCAAAAAAAGATGTTGGAACAATAATAGGCACAGGATGTGAAGAATAACAATTAAAAAAAAATCATTGATACTGTTGGTTTTGTTATTTAGATAAGATAACTTAACCTGAAAACCTACTCAAAACGCTTACTACGTTCACATATAAAAATATATCCTTCTTTTAAATCTACAGCTAAAAAAGTAGGGGACAGAGCCCGACAGCCTGTCAAGTAAGCAGATATCAGTCTGACAGTTATCTGACAAATATCATTTATCCTGACAACAAAAGTCAAAGAAAGCAGCCAAGCACCTTTCAAAAGCTTTATTTCATCTCACAAAGTGACATATATGAAGTTTTACTGCTTAATTAGCAATGCACCCTACAATCCTAAAATACTTTATCAAAGTGTACAAACTCTTCAAGTAGATGTCTGAGATTAATCTACAGACTTGTAACTATTGCTGTGGCTCTACGCTTCCCTTTTTCTCAGCCGTCCTGCGCATCTTTACACATTAGATTTTGCTACCTCCCCTGCCCGACGCATCCTAGCGTACATTAGCAAGTTTATGAGTCTGCCCTGTAGTTGCTTTCAATTCTATTCTATTTTTACTATGTGTCTCAGTCTGTGTTAAGACTAGTTAGCAGAAGTAATGTTAAAACTTTTTCTTCATCAGACAATTTGCCTAAGCAGCAAAGCACACACACTGCAATGAACTACGTTATGCAACAAGGTAGTCAACAGATTTAATGGATACACCAACGCTCAAAGCCACGTGTGCCCATCCTACACAGGGACTGGGATTTGTAACCATCCTTGCTTGAAAAGGATGAAAAAAAAAAAACAAGAAGGAAAGCCCTTCGAATTCTTCACAATTCAGATACACTGCAATTACTAGTACAGAAGAGTTTTCCTTAAAGTATTACATGCTCTTACTCTTATTTTCTCCCTTACGGCCTTTGAAAAATATTTTTCATAACACTATTGCTTTATAAATCCATAACTATGACTGAAGGTGATCAACTGTAAATAAAGGTTTAGTTACAACTTTATCAAAACATGCAAAATTCTCTTAAGGTGCTTTAGCTAGAAGAAAAGCTATTAAATGAACTATGCATTATTATATCTGATTTTATTTCTGAGCCTCACCAAAATCTCAAGGAAGGAGAACTGGATTTGGCCCCTTTAAAAGATTTTAAAGAGTTTCCACCAAACCTTCTTCCTCCATTATTCCGCCAGCTAAATTAGACCAAAAAAGACCCACCAGACAGCTTTAGTCTGCAACTACAAACATGAACAAAGTCAACAGACTGCAAGTAATTACGTATTGGATTTTTTGTTTTGGAAGAAAGAATCAGGAGGGAGAGACCTATCTGAATGTCAGAAGCACTCTAACTTATCAGAGGATCGCTGGAAACCGTACGTCACCCACATTTTTGAAGTTCACCTGTAGGATAACCTGTCTAAGACTAAGCCTCTGCATCATGAAGCAAGTAAGGCATGAGTCCGTGCTCACTTGACTGCAAGTTCTTCATGCAGCAGCGAACAGACAACTCTCCTATCCAGCTTAAGACTGACAATCAGCTTCTCTACACATGTTCTCCCATTGCTAAGACAGAGTAGGCAGGAGGGGATCTAGCACACGCTGTCTTCCTTTTCATTGTACGTTTACGTCAAAAGTGACCTTTCTCCCTTTTTCTATACATGAAAATTAAACAGAGGAGATTAAGGGATCCTCTGCCAGAGTCAGGATTAGAACAGGCAGAATCCCAACTTAGCTCCTGTACTTTCTCAGTCCACACCACTTGGCTGGACCTGTTCTGTTCATAGACACATTTCATGAAAATTATTCACAACACAAAGGCGCAGAAAAGTCCTAATGAACTTAACTCAGAGAATTTTGTATTCTACAGGAATTTTAATTTTCTTTAAAACAATACTTTAAAACAATCAGTAAGACAGATATGTGTTGTGATACCAATGCTAGGGAAGTGAAAACAAGAACTCAAAAAACATAACCTAAGCAAAATCATGCACAGCCACTTCTTCTCCCCCTCAGACATAAATTGTAGATTAGCTGGAAAGTCACCTTCCCATTTAGTGAAGATCCAGCTTGAAAACCATTTTCATTATGAAACAGAAGGAAAAACTAAAATTCTAAATTTCTGGATTTGGAATTCAAGGAGCAAAACGACATTTCGTTTCAACTGACTCAAGTACTTATGAATCACTCCGAGGTACCTGGAGCCCTGACAAGCAAGGCAGGCAGAGAGACAGAGAGCTCATGGAGTCTGGGAGCCTCAACTTCAAAGCAGCCAGCCTTGGCAATGTGCCTAGAGCCACAAAACCCAGGCTACCAGAGAAGCAAGGATCCAGAAGCCTGAACTTCAAGCTTCTGATCAACTCTGGAGCTGAGCTGCTGAGGAACTGGAGAGGTGAGCTACCACTGGGGAAAGGGGGGGAAACAAAGAAAAAAAGGTGCACTTCCTATCAAAATTTCATCATGGCAGCTACATGGTTACACTTCCAGGAATACTTTTAGCTAGCCAAATCCAAGTTTTCCAACAGTCATTAGAGACAAGGGCATATTTTGCCCAGGGGCATGACTTCTGGAAATAAAAGTAGAATTGAAACACACAGAAAAAAAATCTTCCCTTCCCTTCTCTCAACCTTAGTTCAGCAAAATAACAGAAAAAAATTGTCATTTCTGTTAAAAGCTACATGCAAAAG